CGAACCCTAATGTTATGATTATAATCCAACACCATTTTTATTAGTAAAAATGGTGTTGGATTATAATCATAACATGTACTACCCGAATGATCCGGTATTGTAAAATGGTTTTTTTATATGTTGCATACCGTGTGAAAATCAGTTGTAATAATATCAACGTTCTTACCTTTATCCAACAGGCCATTTATCCGACATCACACAGGGTGACAATCTGCTAAAAATGTATAGCCGAAACTAATTAAATGTTAGCCCTAATCCTATATGATGTCGGGTAAATGTCCTGTCAGGGAAATAACTTTCAGAGAATTAAATAACAACCTTTAGTAAGGTTGTATTTAGGTCTGATCTGACAGTACTATAAATAATAATACAGTCGACTCTCTGTAAGTACACATTGTTGGGAAAACATGTACTTATAGTGATAAAGGGTGTGATTTGGAGTTGTCGCTCAATTCTCTGAAAGTTATTTCCCTGGCAGGACATTCAACTGACATCACATATGGTTAGGGCTAGCATTTAATTAGTTGTGGCTATACATTTTTAGCAGATTGTCACCCTGTATGATGTCAGATAAGTGACCTGTTGGATAAATAACTTTCAGGAAATCATATCGTAACCCTTACTAAATGCAAAGTCTTTCTAAATACATGAGGTTGGCTATATAAATTTACATAGTTTTTATAGTATTTTTATAGTATTACCTTTAATTCTTCTTTTCCAGAATTATAAAGTGCCAAAATTGTATTTTTAAACATATCTGCTTTAACTAGTTGTGCTGTGGGGTTTAGATATTGCACAATCTCGGTTAATTCAGGATCTTCTATTAGGAAAAATGGTCGTTGACAACAAATAATCCAATGAGCGAACATATTATGAAGTTTTATATTATCAACTTCAGAGGATATACTAGCCGAAATCTAAAATAAACTTTTTAATAGATTGTTTTTTTTTTTATTATAAAAAAAAAACACTTTTTTACTAGCAAATTTTTCAAGAGTTCCGGATTGTTGAGTTTTTTTTTTTTTTTTTATATTCTTCTGTCAAGACATATTTTGCCTAGTAAGCACTCTTTAAATGTCACCATAATGGTTTGGTTGTACCATTAACTCTACAAGAAAATAGTTCATGGTTGCAGTTCTTGCACTGTGCTGTTTTTTTTCTTTTGTCTATATAACTTTCATAAAATAAACCACATTTTACTTCTTTCACTTCCACTGCCATGCTTGCTAGAGGTGCTAACATTATCCTCACTATTGTAATCGTTATCTTGATCATTATTAAAGTTATTATTAAATTCATTGTTATCATCATGGTCTAGTACAAATGAAAAATTCATCATTAGTAGATAGAATATTTTGCAAGAATACAGTATGTTCTTTAAATTTAACAAAAGATATCATGCTAACTTTATGTAATACTATATATGAGTGTTGCAAAGTGAAACCTGTAATTCTTCAAGGAACATAATTATGAACTCAGGATTGTTCATGTGAC